TATATATATATATATTCACATGAAGAATTGCTTCACAGATAACATCAGACATTGATCATGGAGATCTTTCCTTATAGAACAGATGAAAGGACACCTGAAGATTTTATCCATAATCATGAAGATTTTAAGTACACTTTATCATTCCCAAATCATTATCATCATGAGATGGAAAGATAGTATAGGAAGATATACTCAAAACAGATAGAAAAAAAAAGCTGCTAAAACTAAGATCCTACTGTGTATCAGAATACAAGAAAAGTTATTGGAACATAAACTTTTTTTTTCCATTCTGCTCAGTCTCATTTTCTGCATAAGAGGCCTTCACCTGTTTTCTAGGGAAAATCAAAGAGATGACATAAAGGGACAAAAAAGAAAAAAGAAGAAGAAGTTAGACTGATGATCTCTTGAGATCATTCTCTTGCACAGTGCTCCATACATTACTTCACCTTTGGTAGAACACCAAGCCTGAGCTCAAGATCCAAGTCCTCCATGGAGCCTACAGGCTCAAGTCCAAGAACCTGCCACTTATGAGGAGAATATGTCTCTTTTGAAACTATGAATGGCAGTGCTGAAACAGTAATCTTTGGTCGTTTGCAACTGATTGCCTCCTCTCCACAAGTGATCACAGTTGGCCGATTTTGGGAAAAGACAGGATTCAACCCAACAGACAAATTGGTTTCAACATGATCATCATCAGAATCTAGGCACACAGAATCTGCCCCCCACGCCAGCTTGATGCTCTTTTCTGCTTCAAGTTTTGAATCTGAAAAAATATTGTTGAAACAACTTTTTGTAGTAGAATCTGACCCATGTAACTGCCCTTTATGCTGTTCTTGAACAGGAGAAGTAGTACTAAAATTTTCTTGAGTAGATAAAGCTAAAACCCTAGAAGCTGAAAAGGTTGAGGGAACAGAATTATGGTCAAGATCATCAGTGGAATCTAAAGTGCCAGCCTGGTGTGGTAATATTTTAGGGTCATTAGATGATTTTAGAGAAATTTGTTTGTGATTCTGATGATGAGGAACAACAACTTCATTCTGGGAACTGAGAGCAGATTGCGTAAGCCTAGCTCTATCCCTCCTATGGACATTCATGTGACCACCTAGAGCTTGAGCTGACCTGAATTCTCTCCTGCAAAAACTACAAGAATATGATCTAGGGGGCCATATGCATCCCTCCAAAGACCCTGCTGCATCTTCTGCAAAAGCTTTTTCTTCCCACGAGTACTCACTTAAAGAGTTCATTGACACTTGAAAATGGGGCTTCAAAATCCGTCTCCTCCGCATCCACGTCCAATACTGAGCCTGTTCCATTTTCGATTGGTTTTAAAGACCAACAAGAATAATGATGAAAACAAGCAATAAGAGATCAGATTATAGACTTTGGAACTGGTTTGACATAAACTTCTGATCAGTGGAATAAGAGTTGGAAAGAGGTTAATATAGAAGGAATATCAGAAGAGGGGTGCCATGCAGGTCTAATATCACTCACATTAAATACATGAAAACTACTTCCAAGAATCTAAAGAGGAAGCAGCTCAGTTGAAAAGGTCTTGTTGCTAGCTTTTTGTGGGGGGTGGGGTTTTGCTTTGGCTCATCCAGTGAAGCTACTCCTTTGTTTTTTAGCTGATTTGATACACAGTCATTGTTACTTTGGTATTCTTTTGGGCAATTTCTTCAAAAGGGTCCCATTCTCAGCAACTACCAGACATTGATACCACATGTGTGAAAGAACTAACGGTCATTAATACAAAGCTGGATATGTAGCTTAATTCATTAATCTCTCTGTTTGCTTGGTGTACATGACTGAAAGCAACTTTCTTTCTTTCTTTTTTCTTTATCTCTCCCATTTCATGCTCATTTGACAAATTCCTGAAGACCAGAAGAGTCCCAATCCAATTAGAAACTATTTTAGGCAAGACAAGGAGGACATGTAAACATGTTCAGCTTACTACATAAAATGCACCAGGTTTAATTTCTTCTAATCAGTTTGTTGTACGGTAAGTAAAAAAACAATTATGTAATTGTAATGATAAAGTTCAACCTTAAGAACATGTTCGGAATTTTCTATTGCTATGTTTGTTCGGGTGATAACTCTATTATATAGAGTTATTTTGACATATTTTGAAAGCTTAAATAGTTAGATCTTTGAAATTTTAAGTTCGAATCGTAATATTTTAGATATTTTTTTAGTTTAAGTTTAATTATTTATTGAGTAGTTAATTTAAGTTATTTTAGTTAAATTATATGTTATTTTATTTTAAATTACTTTAAGAGTAATTACTACTAATTTCTCTTATTATTTTTATAAGAAATTTGATGAAAATGGCTCATTTGATGAAAATTCATGCAAATATAGTGATGACTTTATTTGTATATATTACAGTATTTTAACCATATCTCTATCTACAAGAATTCAAATGAAGTGATTCCTAGACCACTAGATTTTTAAGAGAAAGGGCTACAACTTTTATGTTGATCACTTTTCTCAGTTCGGAATGGATCATGGTTAAAATATTTGTCAATTTCAGAGCACTGCAGCAGTATGCATAAACTGAATATAATATAGTTTTTGACGCATATCTTTCAATCCAGAAGTCCAATTAATATGATTATTGATTCATTGGAAAGTTAAGAGATAGGGCTAAAATTTTTATGTTTACCACTTTGTCTAGTTCATATCATATCAGGGTGAAACTTATATTTGAAATTGATAGACTTTCATAGCATTGGGAGAACAAGGTTGTAGTATTGATGAAAAGAAGCATACATACAAATTTTCAGAGAGCTCAACGCTGCAGCACTGGAAAAGTAGTGCTGCAGCGCTGGATTATTTACAAAAAATAAAAAATTAATGAGATTTTAGAAATTAGGTTATTTGGAGCTTATTTAAGGAAACTTTTTCAGAAATTTTAAGGAGGAGGCAGCATACGATCATATTACTTAATTTACGTATAGGATAAGAATATACCTATAGGTCATATGTAGTTAGATTAGAGTCTGAACTAGCAAATCAACTCATTAAAATAAGATAAAGAAGAAAGGTAAGATTTATACGAAGTGTGAGGGATATTGTAAACCTAAGCTTGTTTAATTTACTTTTTACTGAAGTTATTATTGCTTTGATTTTTTTTTAGTTTAGATTTTGGTTAATTAATTTAGTTATTGGAATTTGATTGCTTGGATAAGATAAAATAGTTTTAATTTTAATACTTAGTAAAATTTTAGATCAATTCTCTGTGGAATCGATACTCTACTTACTTATATACTATCTATTCGATACATATACTTGCATAGTAAAATTTTATCTGGCATTGAGAGGATTATTTTACAAGATAGATATTTGATTTTGATTTTTAAAAACTTGTTCGAAAAATTTTTACGATATATTTAATTGAGATGAATGGTTATTTCATTTCTCTTTCATTCTAGATGAAATAATAGAGATAAGATTGGTTCATGAAATGAAATATTCTATTAAATCCGTAGTCTCCCAAATAATAGCTATTAAAGGCTTCAACAAATAAACTTTTAGTTCCCCATAGTTTTTTTTTTATTGTTTTCATAAAATAGTTATTTCATTCACTCAATTATTTCATTTCCTGAATCAAAGACAGTATAACTATTTCCTTATTATACACATGAGAATCCACTCAATCTCGAGTTAAAAAATATGAAACAAAAAATTCATTTCTTTTCTAACTGTTCAAATCTGAAACTTTTAAATTAAAAATTCGAGATTATTATCGTTTGGAATTCTCGGAATGACATAGAATAATACAATTAATAATCCACAATTTTCATAGTCAAAGTGATTGTGAGAAATGTACACCTGGATGAGTTTGATCATGTTCTTCAAACAACTTATTAACAAACAAAAAAAGGTTTGTAATTATAATTGATCAATCCTCCCCCCCTCCTCCTCCTTGGATTTTTCCCCTTTTTTCTCATCAGAATCCTTTGAAACAACCATCCAAACAAACATAGGAATCAAATTAAATGGGGACAATTGAGAACTAACAAAGCCACCCCATTAACGTATTTGATGGATTGATCACTACACTTGAAAAGAAAAAAAAAATTGGCTTTTGTTGTTGACCAAGTAGGACCAATTTTTTTTTTGTTTTATAATCATTTAAATCATTATAAATCAGGAAAATTAGACTGGGTTTTGTTCCTTAATACTGTTTTGATGTCATATTGACTTTAATTTTGAGTTGTTATGACACTTAGAATTTATTAAAAACCTTATCTTGGAACTGATCTATATATCCTTCCAAGTTTTTACTTTTCCTTTGATTTTATTCTACAAACAAAACCAATAAGACCAATTAGTAGTCCAAATTTGTGGCCACACTGCTTTTGGATTCATTATCTTATTTCTTGCTTTACATTAAAGGGGCAGACCGGCTTTATTAAAAGATCCAATTAGCAATCATACACTTTATACAATAGTAAAATGGCTCCCTTGAGGGTCATAGTTAGAATTCGAGACATTAATTAAAAGATTTTAAGTTTTAAATTAATGATTTAATTCTTTAAATGAATATATATATATTTATCATCGAATCGAATAGTCAGACATAACTTATAAAACAACATGACGTCCATATATATATATATATTAAGTTAAGTGCAATTATTTACCAATCAAGCTGGTAATTAATTAAGTCTCTAGCTAGTTAATGAAAACTGGGTTTCTTAGCTTAATTAGGTATACGAGGAATGACATAAGCTGATCATCACATGTCCTTATCTTCTTTCTTCCATGTCTTTGCTAGAACTAAATTTTGACAACTTGCCAAGAAATGATTCCCTTTTCATGCATAGCCAAGACCCATACAACTCCAAAATACACAAGTTAATGTATTTATTTCTTTCTTGCTTTGTGGGAGCAGGGTCAAGCTTTGCATAATTCCAAAAGCTTAAACTATAAGAGAGAAGGAAGATTAATAATACTTTAATAATCTGAATCATTGACTATTGAAGACTTTTCCCCTCTTTCTTTAAGCAAACATTGTCTTGTACCGATAGATTCTACCTAGAATGTCTTCATTCTTCAACTTGTTTGGGAGAAGGCACATTTGAAAATATAGAATCAAAGTTTTATTATGACTTGATTGCAAACCAACAAATGGGTTACTTAAAAAAATCGAATTATTTTTATTAATATAGATCGATAATGGAGAATATATAGCATATAATAGTTATATGTGTGTGTGTGTTTGTGACTACGAAAGATTAAGTGATGACATAATATGCAATGATATTTGTAGATTTTGATTGATTATAATTGTTACATTGATCTTGAAACTATAGATTATAGTAACTATTTTTGATGCTATTTCTTGTATCATATGACATTTGTTGAGAATTTTTCTAGAATGAAAACACTGACAGACTTGACTATTAATTTGAAGAGCTAATGTTTATTTATAGTCATGAATAATAAATATTCCCATGGAATAAAGCTCAACTTTTTGTTGATATATATATATATATATATAGATAGATAGATAGATAGATTAATTGAAAGCAAGTCTGTTTATATTGTATATAGTTTAAAGTAAGCTAAGGAAAATGTTAGCTGGTGGGTTAAACTTTTCAAAGGCATAAATTAATATCTTATCAATCAACACCATAGAGAAAGTACACATCAATATGTTTTGGACATGAAAACATGCATCTTGAAACTGCATTTGATTATAAGATTATTAAAAAGGTTGTTGATGTTGCCAAGAAAGCTGATAATAATAGAGATTACAAGTTAAATTTTGCTCTTCTTTCTTTCACAATTCTTGGTGTTTATAGGGGTACACAGATCATCACATGCACTGTCAGGACTAGAGATGTTTAAGGATCGAGTGACCTGTTTAATGTATTGAAAATATGAGTCGGCACCCAAATTCAATCTCGTTTTTTAATTATATTTTAAATTTAAAATAGGATCGAGCTAGATCGGACCCGAGTTAAAAAATTCTGTTTTGATTTTCGAGCTCGATTCAAATCGGGCCAAGCCTTCGGGCTTGACACTAGGGAACCGGCCCCGGTTCAACAAACAGGTCTAATCAAGGCATTAGCCATTTTCTTTCTTGTTGCGTTGGTTCAAATTCCAAGCCCACAAGCCTCCCTATAGGTCCTATCGCCATCAGCCCTCAGACCGAACCCCAATTGAGAGTTACAAGACAGTGATAACTACACGAGGATACCCTGTTCTCTGGAGGTAAGGCTCAAAAGTAGGCCCATATAAAATTGTTAGGCCGTTGATAATTACATTTTGGTCAAAGACTCGAAAGGAGGAGTCAAAGTCAACGAACAAAATTTCTTTCCTTTTTTTTTTGACGCTGGAATGTTCTGTCAGGCTCAACCACCTTATTAGTGTTTTATTAATAGGAAAAATAAAAGCATACATATGAGAGGGCAACATAACCTTACTTGCGAATTTACATGAGCACAATAATAATAATAATAATAATAAAATTTTATGAAGATTTTACTTTACTTGTGTATTTTTGGATGCTACTGTAAAGAAAAAAAAAACCCTTTCTTACAAAATTTTAAAAATAGTAAAAAATGATACTAAAAATAAATTAAGAGTGCTACTCTATTATATTTTTTTAAAATGAATAAAAGATAAATTTAATTTGTATAATCTAAAAATTTCTCAAAGCTCGCCTTTTGTCCCAGAAAATAATTATAGACTTTGTTGTGTGTGCCCATGGTTGGATAAAAAATTAACTACTTTTTTTATGAATAAAAAAAATAAAAAATTAGCTACTTAGTTGTCTTTTCTATAAATGTGCGAAATTTTAAAAGACCACGTGCGAAATTCTAAAAGACATGCCTTTCAAACATTTTCGAATCAACCCTATCAGATAACATATATGATGTGAACCTTATGGTTATCCTTAATTATCTAAACAGCTACAGCAAGCCCCTCTGTAGTGTTAGTAATTTTACCTACAAGGAGTTATTTAGACCAAAAATTTCTATAAAGCCAAAAATAAAAGTACTTGTATGGTTTCTAAGAATTTCTCCACCAACAATTTTTTGAAAATTATCTTTTGAACTATTATCAATGTATAATTTTTGGAGGTAGATACAATTATCTCAATAATTTCATAATTCGTTATATAATTCTATCAAGATCTAAGCCAAGTCTCCTATGCTTTTCATCATTTCTTTCAAACTCTTTCATTTTCTTTGATCTAAACCGATCAAAACAAGATTGATTAATCATCTTTATTATTCATTGACTTCCCGTTACTGTCATGAAAGCAATATTTTGTCTTTTGAAGGATTGAATCGGCTAAGGGCTTTTGCATCACTAGGAACCAAAATCATATGTTATCTAATTTCTACGAATTAAAAAAAATTGTAATAAATTTTATACATATCATTAATGACGATGAAATTGAACCATGTTTATATGTTTATTTATTTATAATTTATCGTCATTCGGGTCTAGTTTCTCTTATTTAAAAAAAAATTCACAATAAATTTCGTAGATGTGATTAACAACAATGAAATCGAATCATATGTTATATACTTATTATTCATAATTTTTCTGTCACTCATTTAATTTTCATATACTTTTTAAAAATCATAATAAATTTTATAAATATGATTAACAACAATGAAATTGAATCATATATTAAATTTTTATTTATGTTTATGAAAAAAGAATTCGAATTTTATTCTTTTTAAATTTGTCTTCACTCGTATCTAATTTTAATAAAATAAAAAGATACAATTAATTTTATACATGTGATTAATGACGATAAAATTGTTAAATATATTCAACAATTCAGGAGAGTAATATAAGATGGAGGAAGATTGAAGCATTACAAATAATGCTATAAAGTTAAGTAGTAGGAGGGCTTACATAATTATAATATCTAGATATTTTGTGAAAATTAACCCGCTATAATTTATTTAGATATTTTTTATATTAATGACGATTTTATGTTACAATGGTAATTAATTTATTTTATTTGAGTTCTATCAACAAATACTTTTCACAAAATACGATAATTAACAATTAATGTGATGCACTCGTTAGCAAAATACATATTATTTTACTTTAGTGGAACCTTTTTGAATATTTTTCATAGCGACATTGAAATACTGAATTCACAAAAAGTAGCACTCACTATGTTTTGTGGTAGGAAATGATTAAGAAAAAAAAAGTATATTATATTAAAATTATTATTACATCTTTTTTGATGTGCGTAAATCAATAATTATAAACACTTTATCACATTAAAAGAATATAAATATATTCATATTAATGTAAATAAATTTTACCAACTTAAAATTTATCGATAAATTACATTTTAATTGATAATATTACAAAGGAGAAAGTATAAATATATTTTTAGTTTACATAATATTATCAACAAGTCAAATATTATTTATTTAATAAAGTTGAATTTTTATGTGATTTTTTGATAATATGTAAATATCATAAACATATATTTCCCAGGCGGAATGTTGTCCCATTTTATTTGACTTTCCATATTTCAATTAATTAAAAATTTAATTACCCACAGTAAACTCATTAACAGTTAAACTCTCTCTGAACACCTTCATTAACCACCTTAATCCTAAACCAAATGGCTCTTTAAAAATCAAAGCCAGCTTCTCATCATCATTTTGATTTCACTGTCTTCGTGTCTTAACCAAGAAGAAGAAGAAGCAGAGGAAAGGCTGTATACCTTTCCTTCTTCTTTCCGTTTCCCCAGCTTCTGTAGTTTACCGGAAGAGAAAAGCAAGATGAGTCCACGACAGGATCTTCTGAAAACGACGGCGTTCTTCATATACCCGGAGAAGCCACGTGACATGGTCGTGCTTATCACCCGAATCGCCCTTCTCATCTGCCTCTTCACCTCCATTGCTCTCGTCCTTTACGTCTCCTTCTCGAACCGGCCATACCCTTTTATTCGGTTCACTTCCCTGGACCTGAAAATCGGCTCTGAAACTCCCGACAATGCCCCGACCAACATCTCGCATCTCCTCTTCGGCATCGGTGGCTCAGCCAAGACTTGGAAAGAACGACGCGCTTTTAGTTCGCTCTGGTGGGACGTGGAATCCACTCGCGGGTTTTTCTGGCTTGATGAAAAGCCCGACGAGACCGGGACCTTTAACGGTTTTGATGCGGAAGCGGGAGTTTCGTTGCCTTATCGGATATCGGGTCCGGAATGGACCCGGTTTAAGTATTCGAGTTCGAGATTTGCCGTTCGGGTCGCCCGAATAATATACGACAGTTTTAACTTGAAGTTGCCTAACGTGAGGTGGTTCGTGATGGGTGATGATGATACTGTGTTTTTCACTCATAACTTAGTTTCTGTCTTAGCGAGGTATGATCATCATCAAATGTGGTACATCGGAGGAAACTCGGAGAGCGTAGAACAAAACGTAATGCATGCATACGACATGGCGTTCGGAGGGGGAGGTTTCGCCGTGAGTTACCCATTGGCGGAGAAATTAGTCAAAGTATTGGACGGTTGTCTCGAAAGGTACTATTATTTTTACGGCTCTGATCAAAGGATATGGGCATGCATCAGTGAGATTGGGGTGCCACTCACCCGAGAACCCGGGTTTCATCAGGTACGTGGGTTCTTCACTACCATGACTTTCTCTTCTTTGGCATCAAAGTTTTGGTTTTACACGTGGCGAGTTTTTACCGAGAGATGGGGCTTATCGTCAAAAAGATGAGAAATCGGTGACTCACCCGACAGTGTCCACACGGTAGACTCCGACGTTTCATGGGTTTGTTGCCACGTGTAGAATTCTTTCTTCTCTCTCTTTGAGTTGCACTCTTTGGTTGGTGAACTTGGTCCACTGGTTAATGATTGCTTTCCCATCTTTACTTCCAGTGATATTTAAAGCTTACAAATCTTTAACTTCGCAGATTCACTGTTCTAGATTCCTTTGGTAAAGCCAATTAAGTTAAGTAAAACAACTTAATCAAAGCATTTTCCATTATTAAGATACTAATTTACATGACATTATAAATCAAAACTCTATCCGAATTCGATTATATAAGATGTCTAATTACAGTGTATCTGTTGTCATCCTTATAAATACGGTAAGAAAGACTATTACCTAATGACTGCAATTTGTCATTGGGTTGTGCTTCCGAACGAAGCTTTTAATGAATATCATTATAATTGAATGAGCTAAAATGTGCATGAAAATAGAATAATGTTTATAATGTTATCATAATTGTTGGCATAATGCTAAGAGTTATAGTAAGAAATATGGGGTTGAATTCTTGTTTGTTTTATAGCATAAGGCATGGGAAAGTTTTGCTATCTGTCAACTCAGATGACTTGTGAAAGTTTTTCTATCATCTCTGCTTGGTTTTCACGAAGCATCTTTGGGGGCCAACCACCATTAAATTTTTACAGGCCCCTTTAGATACCAACAAATTGAACAGGCCAACAAGTTCTAGGGAAAACCATGTGAAGGGTATATCCAACAGAGAAAGGTTTTGGCCAACAAATTTTTCATTATCAGTACGTTTTCTACAGTTGTAAAGATAGGGCCTAAAAAAGGGTTTCCTGGGAACGTGGCAAGCATACAAACAGACCAAATCTGTGAGATAAGATATCTCTGCTGGTTAGCTTAATTGGTTTTTCTGTCAATTTCCCTAGAGTTGTTGGAAGCTACTGGGTAGAATAACTTGTTTGTTTCTACTATACTACTTGTCGCCATCTCAAGCTTATCTTTACTTAAATTTTTCTTTGTCTGTTCAACTATTTGCGTCACTGGGGCATTGCCCATTCTAAATGATTGGGTTTAGAGAGCTTTAAAAGAGAAGCAAACATGATCTGTTGTGGTAGCTTGCATGTGGGTATGGTTTGTATCTGTGACATTTTATACTATAAACTCTCTCTTTTTTTTTTGACCTTTTTACTTGACTGAGCAGTTTCCTATTCTTCTTTTGAAAAGTTTTACAAGGAAGGAAATATAATGTACCGTACATTTGCCATTGCTTTTTGTCCACCTGTCTGGTCCCGAGTATCTGGTTGAGGAACTAAGGATCTGAAAAAATTAAAGTTTGATGTGTCCTTTCTCTGCATTAATGTCCATGCACTGCAGTTAGGTGTCAGATTGCCATTTGATGATGCTGAGCATCTAGCTTCAATGCATTTTCTTTTCTTTCCTTGTTCTCTCCGCCTGAATCTGCCTCTCTCTTATTTAAAGAAAGCATGAACTGATGAACATGGTGAATTGGACATGTGGCAGAAGAAAATCATTTGTTCAAACCTTAATTAAGGTTACTTTATTAACAATGGATCCATTGTAAATATTAATTTGATTCTTGTCCATGGCTCATTTGAAAACCTTTTCTTTTCCCTCACACCTCACAAGAAAGACTAGTAAAAATAATGAAAAGGAAAGAAGTTAGACTTGATGACCCACTCTCATCGTGAAAGCTGTTTCCATTGCTTCTATGATAATAATATAAATTAAACATGCATATAACGTATGTATATTGTGTTCCCAGGTTATGACTGCACTTTTATTTTTGTTAATCTCTTTTGCTTTTTGTTCTTCTTGTGTTTGACTTCGTTGAAATATTAAAGAATCCAATTCTTTATTGTTTTTGAGAAAATCATGATAATAATATATATATTTTTCACATAAAAATTTTCAGTTTGATATTAGAGGGGATCCATATGGTCTGCTAGCAGCCCATCCTATGGCACCACTTGTCTCATTACATCACCTTGATGGCTTGGTGCCCATGTTCCCCAACAAGACCCGGATAGACTCCTTGAAGACATTTATGAAAGGGTACCGGGTCGACCCTGACCGGATCCTCCAGCAAAGTTTCTGCTATGACAGCAAGAGGAAATGGTCAATTGTAATTGCATGGGGCTACACCATTCAGATATATCCACGGGTGGTGACTGCATCTGATCTGCATATGCCACTGCAGACTTTTAAGACATGGAGGAGTTGGAGCAATGGACCTTTCACATTTAATACCCGACCCATGCCAGCTGACCCGTGTGAATGGCCAATTGTTTATTTCCTGGACCAGGTCGACGAGGTTAGCACGAGTGGAACCCGGACCAGGTACAAGATAGCCAAGTCTGGGAAAACGTGTAATAGAACACACTATGGCCTTGCAATGGCTGTGAATAGCATCACAGTTTCTTCAATGAAGATGGCTCCAGATTATTGGCAAAAGGTAAGCTAAACTGGATTAGCAGTCAAAATACAGATACCAGTTCAGAAACATGTGTCCCTGGATCGAGCAATGCCAGTTCATGACTTAGAATCTTTACTCAACCTCTGCTGTCTCATCCAATTTAACATCCAGAAATGTAAATAGCAGGACTAATAATCTGGATGTTTTTATATACCTGCAGGCACCACATAGACAATGCTGCGAGATCATGGATCGAGGAAGCATAAAGAGTGGAAGCATGCGAATTAGGATTCGGAATTGCAGACAATCGGAAACAACTACTATCTAGAGGTAGGCAGTGCAGGCCTGAGAATTTTCTACTTATGTAAATACTCACTTACACGAGAGTATCGTTAGTATCTAGGATTTTTAATGGCCATTTTTCGGGTAGAGGAACCTACACTCCCCTTTCTTTTCTCATTTTATTTCCAATGCGCACTTGCGCGTGCATGTATATATCTATTGCCAAGAATAACGTTGATGAAAAATGACTCGGGAGAGTGATACTTGACCTTTTCGAGAAAGGAGAAAACTTTTGCTTGTTGTATGCAGCATTCAAGTGAAAATGAGTATGACATGCTTGAATAGATGATATTGAACCATCCAATGTGCAGCACTAAGAAAATAGAAGTTGTCCAATTTCCTTGGACGTCTCTCTATCCTATAGTGTAATCCATTAATTAAATGGAACTAAAGTTTTCTTTTCATAATTCAGTTTCCCAAGTATGGGAATGACACGAAATAAGAAATGTCAACATGGTTTCATTGTGGCAGCCTCCCTAGCAGCTTCACCATGCATGATACTGCAAGGGTCTGAATTTGATCCCCAAAGAAAATAAGTGGTCCAACTAGTGGCACTGAAAATACGCAGAGCCACTGAGAAAGATCCGTGCTAGAAGACAATGATAACAATAACCAGAAAGCGGAAAAGAAAAGCATTGCAGAAAGCAGAAAGCAGAAAGCAGGAAGCAGGAAAAAGTTTCCTGTTAGTTGCTTTCTAGTCAATGATCGCTAAACGACATCCACATTTGGTGCAGCACCATGCTTAGCATGGTTGGAAAGCTTCATGGAGTTCTTTTCGATTCCTTTTGCCCATTGGAAGATAAAAGCTCTGTGCAACTTGAAGGAAGGCCCAGTGATATTTGGTGAATAACAGTTCACCTCATCTATTGTTAATTACATCTAAACAATCCATGGTTTAGGCCCAATGGTTGTTAGTTGTTACGCATTGAGTGGAGGATCAGAGGTCAGTTTTCAACCCCCTTACCCCTCATCCTGCCTCAAATCTACCAAGAAAGAGAATATGACCTAAGAAGGAGCTATTGATCAGCACCAGACTTCATCAATTATTATTTTTTTAAAGGGAGAAAGTACATGGTTTCTTTTAAGATGATATTCAGGAGTTAAAAAGAGTTAACAGTTTTGTTCATCTGATATATGAACATGAAACGTTCTCACGTTATCGAACAAAGTAAGTGCGAGCATCTTCAACATGGAAAACGATGAAAATGACATGACTGATCACCTATGACACAGTCGGTACAGCAAAATAGATACACACACCTCAAATCAAAACTGCTGCAGTGCCAATTCTCTATTTTTTACTAGAAGATCATTCAGGAGAAATGCACTACTAGTTGCAAAGCAATGTGTCCCGTGTTGCATTCCCAGTTGTTGGATTCACCCTATTGCCACATGGACAGTTCAATGGTAATAGAAACATGTATGACAAGACAAGTAAATGTCTTAAAGGTATGAGCTGTCTTACCCGTCTGCAATTTTGCAAAGGTATTCACGTTGATCATCTCTCAGAGGCACATCTGTGAAATCTAATCATACAAAAGAAATCAGCTAAATCGACCAGTTGTCTGATAATATGATTTGCAAGAGCTCTTATTCAGTTGAGATCATTAAAATGCGAAACCTTTGAGGATGAAAGTTTCCTAAAATCAATGTTTACTTATGGTTGGAACTATGTTGGTGCGATACCATTTACAAAAATTCAATTAAAAATGAGTGAAGAATTACTCCAACAGTTCTGAAGTACCAATAAAGCATGGTCCATGAAACTAAAGGATTATGAGTAGTGAGAACTATGAACAAATGAAGAAACATTCAAGGTATAACTAGCCGTACACTTTAGGCTTTGCAGAAGTATTAATCCTCAAAAGCATCCATATACAGCTGATTGAAAGTTGCATTAAACTGGGGTTTTTACATACCAGCACCTGTTACATTTGATCCTTTGAATGATGTGTTCCCTGTAGTAAGTGCACCTTCCAAGTTTGCATTGCTTAAATTTGCCTGCAGTAGGTACGGTGCAGATTCATCAGAAGAGATTGTCTGATAGAACAATAGCTTATCTTTCTGATAACAGATACAACTCAAACAAATGTGAAATGGCATTCCACAAGGAAAAGAAAGTGCACCTAAGATTCGATAAAGATTACCTTTGTTACATTTGCCAAAGAAAAATCTGCACCTCTAAGATCGGCATCTGAAAGGTCAGCCCCTGACTCATCACAAAATGTTACAAAATAAATTTTAGGTAAACAATAATCCCTTAGAAAATTTAAATGATATTGGTGACAGGAAAAAGAAAACAAAGATTGAATTTTAAACTTTAGGAGAAAAATTCCAATTTCAAGTTTTCAATTGGATATTTAAACATATAAATGATATTGGTAGCAGTTAAGCTAATTTACTATGAACATATCCTTGACATTGGTCAAAGAATCCCATTAAGGGAATGGATCCAGAATGATAGTCAAAAGCAGATAGAGAGTGCAATAACAGTCATTATAACCATGTTTTTTTCCATTTTAAGTCATTTTTACTTCGTTTATCCTTACAAAATGAATAGGTAAATGATCAAAAAACCAAAGATGTACGTGTTCTTCTAAAGTTGTAGGCATGCACTTATCTGAAACATATACTAACGAAATTAAGACGTCCGTCATTTTGCAGAACCTACATCCCATACTTCTCAATATTTCAAATGACGGTGTTAAAGCATCTTAAACCAAAAATCAACCAAAATTAACTTTGATTATGCTTTGGTCTCTTCATTTTTGAAACCTTCAGTCTAGTAATAAGTGAAATGATAAAAAGTCGAATGCAATTTCAATGAAGACGCAGAGTTAACCAAACTACAACCTCTTAACTAAACATTTGGAATGAACAACGGTTGTTATTTTTTATGAAACTTGATAAACTAGCCTAGGCCTTAAACCAATGAGGCATGTGGGGTTGGCTGCAAGACCAAGGTCTACAGCAATGTGGCAAATGGATGTGAGCTCAGATAAACTAAGTTCTCAACTTCTCTCATGGCCTTAGCTTTTAAACAATACAGATATTCCAACAATAGAACTGTTGCATGTTTAAAAGCCCTAACTGCTTTCAGGCCTTAAAACAAGCCTAACCATAATAATGGATACTTCAAAGTCACATCAAATTCTTTCTTTAAAGATGATACGAAGATAGGGAATTCTTCAATCACCATGGCAAGTTATACATTCCAAACGGGGAAATGCATAAAATAGTTTGAGAAACCTGTCAAATCAGCATCAAAGAAGCTAGCACCCAGCAACTTTGCGCCTTTGAAATTGGCTTGTCGTAGTATGGACTGAAGTATAGGACAAAGACACTCAATGAGCTTAACAGATTGAAAATTAACAAATGCACACATACATTTCAATTAGCCGAAAATAGCAATACCGTCTTAAAATCTTGCTTGATCAAAGTCTTTCCACTAAAATCTTTACCCGTTAAGTCTTGTCCCCTCGTCACTTCAGCTCCATAAGGCCCTCCTCCCTTTTAATCAATGCACATTGCCCAAACAAAAGACATAGATCACGAATCTGAATTACACTTTTATCGGAAATCATGGAGCAAAACAAAAGATTTTGAATCACCTGAAGAATAACTTTAGTTATGTACTAAGAAAACCAATTACAAAGAGAGCAAAAATGAATGGTTGAATTATCACATTGAGGCCAGCTATAGCTAAGATAGGAACAACCCAATGCCAGGTGGATCAAACTCTTGTGCTTCAGATAACAAATCTTTTGCAATTCTTTCAAGATCACATACAACTTCTCAGGGCAAGCAAAAAATTGAACATTATTAGAGCTGCAATGCTAAAAATTTACCTTGAACGCAAGTGCAGGATCTACAAAGAGGATAGTAGCAGAGACAAGAGCAAGCAAGCTGGCCTTTGAAAATGATTCTCCTAAAGAAAGAGAAACCTTTTCAAGTTTCTCCTCAAAAACCTGTCCAAAACAAATTAACCAAAAGAAACCCAAAAAATAAAGTGAAATGACGAGTGAAAAAGGGTTGTCAAATGCACCTTGGGTGTAGGATAGTTTAAGAAATAGTGAGCTTTAATGAAGCAAAGAGGGGACTTGGGTGGTTTTCTCAGTGGAAATTGCTTAGAAGAAAAGGAAACATTGTTACAATGACAGAGAAGAGCCATGTTTTTTCCTTTCTTGTTGGCTTTCTGACAATGCAATGGCAAAGATATGGATAATGATTTTTGTTTTTCAGTTACTTCTTCCGACACGCGGCAAATTCGAGATCCTGTCGGGTTAAAACCCGGATCGGTCCAAATATTGTAGCTTAAGATTGGGCCGAGGGATGAGGATGAAATAAATTGGGCCGGCTAGCTAGCCATATGCAAAGTATATAAAATTAAAAAAATACTTTTTGTTTTATATTTCTATTTCTTTTTTGGATGAATTACTTAAGATAAGAATTTTTTTATATTTATTTATTTTAACATTTTCAATTAAAAATTACCTTTTTATAATTATCAACTTAGTTGAAAAAATCCATACGAGGTTTAGAAAATACGTGTAAATTGATTAAAGATTTTACCCAAATTAATTACTGGGATAAAGTTTAAATTTACTATCTTAGTCAGGATGAAAAATCAAATTTATCACTTATACATGCAATTTTTTAATTACGTTCAAAAATATTAAAACTAAATAGTAAAAAAAATCTTTCCAAAGGAATAAGTGAATATTTTACAAAATATTCTAAGTTTTTTTTTCTTTTAAAAATATAATTAAAAAGTATGATAATAAAATTGTACCTCGTTCAAAGACAAATAGTAAATTTTGATTCATCATCATTCTAAACAAAACAGTAAATTCGAAATTTTTCTTTAAATTACTCTCGGATTCACAAACAAGTAAAACTTTTTTTATTATGCATATTTTATAAAATCATCCCGTCTCCCCCTAATTCTTGATTTTTTTTTTTTAAAGAAAAACCATAAATTAAGACCAGTATAATAAAAATGTTAATGAACTGAACCAAGTGAGAGTACACACTTTTTGCTCATTGATGTCAGTAACAATTAATCATATGGCCAAATATTAAAGATTTTATCTAAATTAATTACTAGGGTAAAGTTTAAATTTACTATTTTAGTCAAGATAATAAATCAAAATTATCACTCATCTTTGCATAGATGTAATTTTTTAATTAGGTTAAAAAATATTAAAACTAAATAATAAAAAAACTTTCCAAAGGAATAAGTGAATATTTTACAAAATATTCTAAGTTTTTTTTTTATTTTTAAATTTAAATTTGAAAGTATAATAATAAATTTGCACCTTGTTCAAAGATAGATAGTAAATTTGATTCATCCTCATTCTAAACAGAATGGTAAATTTGAATCTTTTTTTTATATTACTCTTGAATTCACAAACAAGTAAAAATTATGTATATTTTATAAAACCGATCCCATCTCTTCCTAATTCTCGATTTTTTTTAAAAACATCATAAATTAAGACCACTATAAGAAAAATGTTCATGGACTGAACCAAGTGAGAGTACGCACTTTGTACCCATTGATGTCAGTAACAATTAATCATATGGCCAAATATTAAATGTGGGGATGTACTAATCTTGTGTGCACGAAATCAAATTTGCAAAGAACGTATCAATCTGAACTTCCATTCAATGATATAATAATGTTTACAATTATTTGGCATTTATTCTCATAGCTAAAGGAAGAACCAAGACTCTTGAAGGATCTTTGATGATATAACTAAATATTTAGGTCTTCAATTAATGATTAATTAATGATAATTTTATTACTTTCAAAGGCAATTAATAATGGAAGTTATGTTGCTTGATAAACCTCTAATTACATGTTGGTTTCATGATTAATTGCTACAATGACTTAGTCAAGATCTTAAGGAATTAATTGTTGGATTCACTGTCGGTATATATCTGATGTACTATTTGTGCACAACACTTATATAACATTAGTTAATTATAGAATATGATGTCATAAACTTGTAAAAGTAAAGGTTTAAAAATTTTTTAAAATGAAAATTTTTAATTATTTTATTAATAGTATGTCAGGTAATTGATGGTGTATAAAATATTTTATCAAATATAAATTGATTTAACATCTTCTATTTCATTTTTTACTTTTTTTTATATATACATTCACTGTTTTGAATATACAATTAATGGTTGAACGTAAATTCAAACTACATTCGAGGAAGTTGGACCATAATTTTAATTATTGTCATTACATAATAAATACTGCTCATTTTGTCAGTGTACAATATAATGGTAATAACTACTGACAAATGACAATTGTGTATGTCTAAGTTTTTTTTTTTTCATTGTTTTATTTTCTTAAAATTTATATATGAATAAATCTCTATAATTAATTGCAAACGTCAGTCATCTTCCCCTTTTGCACTTTTTACAATCAGCTTTAGACCATGTATTGGGTTTGTTTTCTTAAGTTAAAGTCAATAAACAAGATTGATATAGTTAGTGACAAAGAGTCATCTTCCTGAATTTTTTTTGGAAAATTTTTAATTATTATTTTTTGTTAAATGAAGATCTTAATGTCGGTAAGAGTCCTAATATCCGTTAGAAAAATACGATAAACTAGATTCGATAGTTGTGTAATTTCACTTTTAAATAATGTAAAAACTATGGTTTTTTTTTAAATTTTTTCAGTCAAATTAAGAGAGATAATAAATGCTAGAATTTGACGTTTTTGATTGTGAAGACAGAGGAATTGAATCAAAGAGTAATTTGCAGAGCCACTGGTGGCATCACTAATTGTCATAGATGCTTTGATTCCATTTCAATCCATTGCCAGAATTCCATGTACAGAAACGTGTAGAAACTAGGGCCTAGGGCCAACTTTCTTTGCTTTCTTTATTCGGTATGGGAGAAGCCAGTAGAATCCTCAGTGTGCTTTGGCAACCCGAAAAGAGAAACAAAAGAAAAGAATCAAAAAGAGGACAAACAAAATAATAGAAAGATGTGCACCGAAAAATGGGCAGGCAGCAGAGCCAAAAACAGTGTTTGACTGAAAGACTTGAAAGAGAAGGAAATGGGGTTGCGGCCCCCTGGCCCTGATTGGGGGGTGGCTAGCCTAGTTGGGGAAGGGGGGCGCTTGGTTTTTGGCAAGTGAAATGTTCCACGCTTCTCTCCTTTGTCTTGGCATTCGATACTTTGTCGGGACTTGAAGACAATGACGTGTTCCCACCACCAAACCCCGACCCAACCCTTCCACCTCCCATCTCTCGACCCTTTCTATCGATCTTCTTCCTCTCTCTGTCATATGCGCACGTTACCCCACACCATTTGGGAGGTCTGGAGGAATGGGTTATTAGTCTTTTGCAAATTAGTATTCCCAACTCTGAAGAAAGGTTAGAGGCTGCTTTTGCAATAACGTAAACTGTAAAAAACTCAACTTGTTTGCTACATTACCATGCACCCATTCCTCCCATGAACTTGATCTTGTAACCCCTCCATCATCATCATCATCTTAGCCAATCATATGATCATGACAAGCACATGGAACATTCTAGCTAGCATGTGGTTAGCTGCCCTACTTGCCTGCTATAGGTTTAGAGGTTTTCTTTGGGTGAATGCTTTTATTGCTTAGGTTTATATTCTTGCTTGAGTATACAAAATTTATGTCAAAAAGGTGAAAAAAAATCCTTGCTTTACAATGGGGAAAGAAGAGAAATAAGTACACAATAGTCATCATTAGGTAGGCAAGATAAGTATTAACTTGAGAAGCAATTCTCTCATTGATGCATGAATTTTCTTATTCGAAGGATATGGATATATGGTTATGACAGCCGATGACAAGATGCGGCTTGAAAATTGGTCATGATTTCCAATCAAAATCAACCACAGGATGACGTCAAAGGATAAACAGTTACCATTTCATTGATGGTTTTTCAAGTTTTTAGATGTGGACTATAAATGCTCATTCAACTTCTTGGAGTGGGCTTAGCTTGATAAACCTTGCAAGTCAAAAAAAAAAAAGAAAAAGAAAAAAGAAGAGATAAAACCAGGCAGACACGCAGAAACCAGGCTCTGCAAAACCGCTGTTAGAAGATAGTGGGAGTTCTGGCAATCGTAATCGTTATCGTACAAAACCAGGCAGAAAGAGAGTCAAGTGCTTCGCTTTAACGTACACTTGCACAAGACTTGGGAAAAACAAAACTGATCACTCTGCAGCAGCAAGGTAAAACTGAAGAAGAGGACCCCCCCCCGCCTCCCGCCTCCCCTGAAAGAAGTGAGAGTTTTGCTGTACAGAGAGATAGTTTGATTACTCGGTTGCTCGATTTTTCGTTTTTCTGTGTATCGAGTGAGAAGAGGTACAAAAAAAGGTAACCTTTTTTCCTCAACACTCTTTTTATGTTCAGTACAAGAAAATAACAGGGAAAGAGCGAAGCACGGCATATTTCACTTACACAACACAGTGCTTCGAGTTTCACGTAGCTGGGGGTGTCCTTTTTAGTTTCTGCAAGCAAGATATTTTTGAAGTTTGAAGTTGGGATCTTGAAGATAAACTTGTTTCTTTGGGGGGTTTTAGAAAGGTGGGTTTTTGTTTGAAGAGAAGAAGGCTTTGTTGGATCTGATTTTGAGGTTAATGGGTAGGGTTTTTCATGCAAAAAACAAGAGGAACCCATGTGTGAAGTGTCTGATTCATGCAATATGGTGGTGTCGATTTTGAAGAAGAGATAAGGTTTTGGACTGGTACCAACTTGATTTGGGGTTCTTCATTGGAGATCTCTCTGTCAATCTACCACAGCAAACAAACAAAGGAAAAGGTAGTTTCCATTGCTAAGTAACGGTAACAGAGAAGATCCCATTCATCTTGGTTCTTTTTCCTATTTGCCATCTCAGTTATTATTGCTTTGATTCCCCTCCAAAAAAAAAGTTTGTTTCTTGTTTTGAAATATGGCTAATCGTTGGTGGGCTGGAAATGTGGCCATGAGAGGTGTTGATTCAATAGGTTCAACTCCATCTCTTCACCTTAGGAACCCATCTGAAGAAGAACACCGGATAGCTTTGAACCGCCTTGGACCCAGACGAGAACACCAAGATTTTAGAGATAATAACGCTAGCCCCCCCAATGCCAACACTAGCAGCCCTAACGCCGCCACTCCAAACCAAAACCAAGACGACAATGAAGATAGCCGAGACAATATGGAACCTGATGACCAAACCACCGCTTTTGAAACCATTGAACCTGGTTCAAGTTCAGCCACTCGCCGTCCTAGAGGTAGACCACCTGGTTCAAAGAACAAACCGAAGCCTCCCATTGTTATCACCAAGGAAAGCCCTAACTCTCTCCGTAGCCATGTGTTGGAAATCACTAGTGGCAGTGACATTGCCGAGTGTATAGCTAATTTTGCTCAGCGCCGCCACCGGGGTGTGTCGGTTTTGAGCGGCAGTGGTATTGTTACCAATGTTACCCTCCGCCAACCAGCTGCCCCTGGTGGAGTGATCACTTTACATGGAAGATTTGAGATTTTATCTTTATCCGGTGCGTTTCTGCCCTCGCCTTCGCCTCCGGGGGCCACGGGCCTGACTGTGTATTTAGCGGGCGGGCAAGGGCAGGTGGTGGGAGGGAGTGTGGTTGGGGCCCTGGTAGCTTCAGGGCCGGTGATGGTTATCGCGGCAACTTTTATGAATGCGGTTTATGAGAGGTTGCCAATAGAGGACGAAAATGGTGGTGAGGAAGGAGGAGGAGGAGGAGGAGAAGGGATTGGAATGCAGCAGCAAGTTAACAATAGCAATAATAATGGTGGCGGCGGCGGTGGTAATTCAGGGTCATCTCAGTCTCAAGGTTTGGGTCATGATCAGCAAGGTGGTTCAATTCCTTTGTATAATTTGCCTCCTAATTTACTGCCTAATGGACAAATGCCTCCTGATGTGTTTTGGGGTCCTCCGCCGCGTCCACCGCCCTCCTATTAACATGAAAGAGGAATGGATTGGAGATAGAGCCGAAGGTGGAAACTGGAGATGGTATGGTGGTTTGACTATGCTGACTGGTTTTTGTGCAAAAAATGTAATGACAATTTTCATGTAAGTGTAGGGGAGAAAGGTAGGACTACTTGTTCGTTAGTTTCTGATCTCTGTGAATTTAACCAAGTTCATGGTTAGGCTTTAACTATGTTTTAGATCATCTTTTGTGGAACTTTGTATAAGTATCTCTTGTTTCTATTCCCTAATCAACTCCTTTTTGGTGTAGCAATGTATCTTTGATGATGTAGGCAAAGAAATGAAATTCTTATTGAGCAAATTGTTTTGGTGCATGCTGTTTACGATCTGTGGTTAAGTTTCCATCATGTTTTAGAGCTTTCTAGTAGTTTCTTTTGTTGTCTTTCCCTTTAATTCCATTTGATCAACTTTCTTGGAGGAATGCATCTTGAGGATGTAGGAAAAGGAAGGGAAAGGTGAAGAAGAGAGTTGAGAGATACTGAAAATTGTTGCAAGGATATATCAGAAGATTCTTTTCATGGTATGCTTGTTAATACTCATCTTCTTTCCTCAATATTTTATGATTTTCATCTTTTTCCAACAATATTAATGGTGCTGAGAAGCTTAAATGCGAGAGTTCTATGTGTCAGAGAAAAGAGATGAATATCTAGTCAGGTTGGCAGAGCTTTGACTGAGACACTTCAGCTTCATTAGCTGATCAGAAAAAGAGAGAGAGAGAGCTGAGGTGATTCATCTGCATTTTCCCAAATGGGTTGTTTCAGCACTGCTAGATCAGATTTTCTCATCATAATGATTCATTGGGGGGGTAGTTTCTGCAATGGGTCAACCCAAATCAAGATAAAATCTGTATACTTTACACCTGTGGGTCTCTTTGAGTGCATTATTGCCATTATTTCACATAATGTGACATTCCTCTTGGAGAATTTCAAACTGACACTAGGGCTTGTAAAGCTGCCTTTCAATTAGTACTTCCTACCAGGTTTTAATGGAAATGAAAATATCTCTAGAATATCATGATGGGAAAAAAAAGGCAATGGCATCTTCCATATTGGATTTTGCCTAGTTTACTGTGAATCTACAAAATTTGGGTTTTAGATCAAAATCTACAAGCTTATGCTGTTTGTCAGTGCCTTATTAAACAAGTTTAGACTTCTGAATTTTGTTTCTTTCCCATAGTCAAGTTGTGCCTCCTTCTCAGCCACCATGATCTTTTGCCCAGACCGGGTTTTGCATTTAGGATTAACATTCTTGTCTGTCTCAGAGCTTAATTGACTAATGTGGTATCTAAGTTTGAATTAATCTCCCTATCTTAATTGCTTCTAGCTTTGTTTGCTAGTTGAAGAGGATGCAGATATAATAAGATATAAAATAGCAATTAATTACTAAGCTGTACTTGTACTTAAAATAATTTATTTTGTTAAGGCTGAAAAAAGGTCCTAGCAGGATTTCAGTTCCTCAATACTTTCTTTTTTTTTTTTTGCTCAGCCAAAAAAATATTTGTATTAAGTTGATTTCTCATACTTACTGTTAAGTTCCTCATACTTACTATTAAGTTGATATCTCTTTTTAGTTTGATGGAATTTTTCAAGTTAATTTGTTCTTAGTTGAATTTCTTTTCCTCCAGTGATATTTGATATGACATTTTGTCCCTTATATGAACATGAAGTGATTATATATAGAATTAAAACTGTTATGAATTATAAGTACGACCGTTGCCTGTTTCTTAAACGAGTTTTATTATTCAAATGCAGTATTGGTTTGAACTAGTTGGGGCTGATCTAAATGTGTACTTGGAAGTCATTGTGTTTCTTTTTGCCCTCTTAGTCAATGGTTGTTGCATATCAGGACAAGCATCTAAGATAGTAGTTGAAAATATATGGAACAAGTATCTAAAAGTAGATAACTAGTTTACCTTCTTAAAGTCTTGTAAGAAATTTTGATCTCAACCAAACTTGGTGTCATGCTTTAAAAGTCAATCCTACTCTTACCAAACTAATGCAATCATGTTCATGAATGTATGTAAACAGGTATACTTGATTGTGTGCGTGCTCCTTTGTGTGAGGGCATAGTTTGTTGAACATGAAAAGAATCTTATGCATGCTCCATTGCCATTGCTTCAATTCCCCTCCTTCTGCCTTCCTGGATAGATTGTGAGAAGAGGGGAAATCAAACCTCGTTTTCTTTTCGAGGAAAGGTTAATTTGGCTACCTCTAAACTATCGGTCCACCTTCATTCCCCTAATTTCAGAAATCATGGTTTTCCTCCCCAAACCTCATCTCCAGTTAGAAATGCGGTATAACTGCTTGATTCTGCCTAATTTGAACACGACTGCTAATAAGAATTATGAAGAATTCTATTAACTATATCAACTTGGTATATCTGAACTTCTGAATTGTTTGTTCCTTTCTTTTCATACCTTACACATGCATTTTTGTTTAGATAGTTGAGAACATGCATTATGTTAACATTACTGAACCTCTATGATGTACATAAATCTTAGTAAGGCCTTAATTCCTTTGGTTCTTAATAACTAAATAATGTTTTCAACTTGTGGGATTAGCAGTTGCTATGTATGATTTGCTAGTGTATAGTAGCCGAGGTTTAAGGACAGGTGCTCTCCTTTTATTTGATTTTCTTGTTCCTCACATCATTTGAAATTTGAATGGAACTTGGTTCTTGGATAAATGTTGTAAATGCTGCTCATCTTCCTTAATTAACAGGTAAAGACCATGAAAACACTGCTTGTTTTTACTCTCACCCCCCATTTCTTCCTCAGTTGTCAATCACAACTCAATATTATTGACTGTGTATTCTTGCTAAAGTTCAGCCAATAGAACTTGGTTTCCTTTAAGGTCTACACATGCATTTGCTGTAGCCATGATTTGCCACCGCTGATTTAAAATCTCATCCAGCTGTATATCTCTATCATCATGCTGTTAAATTCAAAAATTCTTAAGCACTAGGAAGAAATTGGAGGGGCACTTGCTCTTGCATTATCTTGATATGCACCAGTGTTTAAATTTAAGACAAGTCATCTCTGCTGATGGAACTTTTGCAGTTGGATAGTTCAGCAAACAGTTGATTAAGAATATGTGCTCTTTTTTGATTAGATGGGGAAACATCTCTTAATCAACCATTTCTGCTAGGGTTCATTAATAAGATAGGACATAAAGTTGCCCATTTTCCTGATGGAATTACCTATGGCCTTGCTGTTGCATTTCCAGGATAGGAATTGAGACTGCTTTTAGACTATTATTCAAGTTTGTGACATGTTGTGTGTGTCACTCATTCCACCATTTTCAGTGTTCTCTTCCTGCAGATTATAGGGGGGAACATCTTGTGAGATAGAGAGGCACTCTTTACTGTTTATTGAGGGTGAAGATTGTAAGAATTTTTCATTCTTTCTATATTAATTCCATAGCCTTTTCTATCTTCTCTTGCTTTATCTTTGAATAAGAAAATATACACATCTAGTATTGAATCAAATTTTTGGGTGCAAAGAGAGAGAGACAGAGAGAGAAGGGAATTAAAGGCTTGTTGGAGTTCATTTCATGTTTGGCCAAGCATTTGAGAACTGGATTACTTTTGAGTGACTTTTTCCTGTTGATGAGGCAAAGGATTGAGTGGAAGGGGGGAAAGTGGGAGATATATATATATATATATATATATAGATTCCAAATTAGAGGAGCTTCATTTGGTAATGTCATTGTCCTACCCCTTTTGAGAATGCATCAAATCTTTGGGTGCATACCTATGGAAGTGGCAACTTATAAAGATGTTTGCCTGCCTTACTCCTTTCCTGTCAACATGCTTATTCAAACTTCATTAAATTATGTCTCCTTTCCGAAGATACTTTCCCTTGCTGCAGCTCAAAGAATCAATTGGATAAGGAAAGCTTATTTCCACCCTCTTTGGTAGAATTAAATGTCTTAAAAATGATGTCAACCCTGTTAAAAACTTGTCCAACTTCAGTAATCACTCAGACAGTGGCCAAGAATGGTCCTTTTCCTTCATCCAAACATATCCTTCTCTTTAGCATTTGACTGACTACAAAAATATATATTAAAAAAATATTACGATCATTTTTCAATTTATATGCACAAAGAAAAAGGAAAAAGATTAAAGAACAATGCCCTTGCCTCATTACTTCTTCATTTAGAGATTAGAAGACAAAGAATTAACTCAGTCCTCAACTACCAAACAAGCAAGGAAACCTGTTACTACTATTTCCATTTGGTGTAATCATTAAAGGAAAAAGAAAAGAAAAGGAAGAGAACTTTACTAAGACAGCGACACTTAGGATACTCTTGCTTTCTTGCAGGTCAAATGAAAGGAATGATGGAATGCTTACTAAGACAGTAAGATTTCTTGATAAAAGAATTAACCCAAGATTTGTAGAGCTATATTTACTGAATATATATGCTTTCAATGAATTTTTTTCATGGTCTTCACTGATCTCCATGCAAGTTTTGTAGAACTAATTAACATATTGTAGAAACCAGACTATCAGGTTTCAAAATCTCTAGTGCACACCAAAAAGGTGAGTTATGACTTGAAGACTCCGCTTTCTTTGCAGCTATTTGCGTACAGCAGTGTTCTTGATGAAATATTTTCTGCTTGGCTGCAGAGAAAGCATACGAAAATAATGTTAGAAACATGGGTTTTTAATATTTAGTTGAATTTTTTATATGACAGTCTAATTTTCATTTCTCATAAGCCCAATTGTGACTTTGAGTTGCTTTCCCTTTCTTTGAATGTGCTGATTCATCTATAGCCAATTTGATTCAATGATATTTTTGTTGGAAATGGAAGTGGTAGTTTTGTTGAACAACTAAGCTTGCCTGAGCCAAAAGTTCCACATTTCCATCAGTGTCCTGTCGATTCAGGAGAGCCTAAGCAATGCAAACTGAAATGAAAATGTGGAATGAGATCATTGGATTGGAAAAATAACAGGCCTTTGACATTGGGGTTGTTTCAGAGTTGCATATTGCATCAGGATTGTTGTGGGCTTGGACTTGGGGCAGTTCTCTTTGTTTGTGAAGCACTGTAACCTGAACAAGACAGGCCCAGTCAAAGTGCTCCTGCCATTGGACCTTCTTCTTACTAAGAGGAAAGACCTATTTCCCCATACCAGCACATTTTGTGTTTTTTGTTCCATGGATCTTTCGCTTCCTCTTACTTAATAGGCCTATATTTTCTTGATGTTTTCAATCATTTCTTCTTTTCACCTAGTCCAATTGACAAGCCCAATTGGAAAGCCTGATCATAGTTGACTCAAATCTGTGATATAATGAATGTTTTGGCTTCATAAGCCCAAAGTCCCTTGATGGCTACTGATCTGAACCATGTAAGAGCATCCCAGCAAAACCAGAAACAGAACCAAGTTATTTCCTCCACTGGGACAGATTGTTTACCTTGGATTCCTTGTAAGTTCATGCATCTCCAGTTTGGACAAATTTTTAGTAAACGAATCACTAAAACTTGTTTTGACGCTAAGTTTGCTTTTAGAACAAAGACAGAATTGAAGGGAACAAGAACAGTTCATAATTCTAAATCAGTTCCACCTGACCACTTCTTGACAAGATTTTGTATAATCTGTTGCCTCACAGTTGCTAAGAATGCAGAACCATATCATGGATTTGTTGAGGAGCTAGTTCTAGAGTTCTAGTTTCTACCTTTGTCTTCTCATATTTTCCCTTCCCTGTAAGAACCCTTTGGTTCAATAGAATTAACAAAAGTTATCCTTCAATGGCTTATGTCTGCTCTGCTTCTGACTGATTAAGATGCCAGTAGTTTTATGACAAGTTAAGTTGGACGAAGGAGAAAATTAACATTAGGGTATTATCTAAAGCTCCTCTAGGTGTCAATAAACAAGGACTTCCTTTCGATTCTTTGTTTATAACTTGTGTGCTTGCAACAGACATGGGCTTTGACTTTGGCATGATCACCTCCCTGTTTTATGACATCCTTAATGGCAAGTACTTGCTTCATCTTTACTTTAATAACTTAAGATATTGGTTGCTTTACGTTCCAAAATTGCTATAAGGAAAAGTAGAGTTCACTTTTCTTTATATGCATGATCTGCTAAGTATAAACATCGGCTACATTATAACACAAGGTGCTTATTTCAAAAATTCAAATTAGAACAAACATAAACATTTATCATAAGAATCATGGTAATCTAACATAAATTACATCATGCCTGGTGCAAACCTTATCCCTTGCGGAGCCACTGTACTTGGCTTAAAAGATCAATTCCAAGCTATGAAAGCTGGAAATGTACTACCAGCTTGGACCTTCCCAGTTTGTAGTGGTAACACTGCTTCCCATGCATGGATAATCTATGAGAATTCCTGATTCCACTCCTTCCAAGTTTATTTCTGGAGGGTTTTGGTAGAAGTTACAGGGAAAGTTCTGGTCTTCCCATTCGTATGAAGGAGGTAGTGGTTCACACAATTGAGCATCGAGTATTTGATTTCCAGTTAAAAGTCCTGGATGGTCGGGCAGTGCAGCTTGTTCATCTTGATAGTAGACTGTGCTCATTGTTTCATGCAGGGAAGCAAACTGTATCTTACCATCCGGGTAAGTAGCTGCTTGAGTATTTCCGCAGCTGGGAACCTGATCAGCAGCATGATTGGCGATTTGGTTGATGAGAATTTCTATCTCCTCTTGTAGGTTGGCAACCTGCAAGGTGATGAATTCAGTGAACAACAGGCATGAATATTAGCATGGTTTTTACTGGTATTGATCAAGAGAAAAGTTGCAGTAAAAGCAACATCGAAACCTGTTGTTGAAGTGCAAAGATATGAGCAACACAACCGTATATGGGGTCCCGCATCCGAGCCAGTGCTTCATAAGATATAGTGACAGCAGCATCACTTCGATTATGCATCGGTAGGTGTAACAATAGCTTGGAAACATTGCTAGCACCAAACACCTTGTGCACTGCCGCAAAGTGACTTGCAGCCTCATCATAACAAAAGTAAGGTGCAAAAACGCATTCGCTCGTGCACTTTCTCCTCAGGAATTTGCAAGCTCCACATGAAGAGCCAAGCCCTGTCATTTTCCCAAGCTTTTTCTTGCTAAATTATCTGTGTCAATGATGTATTTTTCTGTAGTACTAAAAGGGTTAGGGCTGGTTTGTTTAGGAACAAAGAAGTCTTTATAACCATCACCTTTTAAAAGGCTTGGAGAAGTAGGTTTTTGTTAAGCCCAAGGGGATATTATCACTTTACCTGAATGCTTGTTCTTTTGGGTCTCCTTTGTGGCCTACATTGTCATTCTCATATTTGGAAAGTTTTCATAATTTATGTCTTGAAGGGGCCTTTTTATGCATCACAAATAAGGCTACTTTAATGGAAGATTCAATCATCATCATGATTGGTCGGGCTCTAAAAAATTTAGAGGATAATTGAATGATATAATGTAAAGTATTCTTAATGAAGAATGTCATCATGTAGACAAGTACAATATAATCCTATTTCTCTCGCCCTTTACATGGCAGTTATGAAGGAAGTTGTAGAAGGGTCACTGAACTTGGGAGTTTAGAATATGCCAACATGATCCTTTTCTTAAATCTTTGTATTACAGATACCAAAAGATTCAGAAGACAAAATCTTTGGTGATGATTCTGAAAATGAGTAGCATATGGTCTGAACTACAGAACTTGGTTGATTCTCAATGATTTTTGCATGCTTTTGCTATTCCATGGGATCTTTTAGATGAAAGTAATTAATAATCTTTCTAGTTTCTTAATCTCTGCTGTGCTAAAGTAGGCTCTGCTCATTCAAATCTTGAAATCAGTGTTCTTTTTCTCTTTGGAAGCCAACTGCAACTCAAACCCCAAATCATTATATGCATATAGTTTGATAGTGTCAATATTCTCCATATAAACAGTTATGTTTTATTAACTGGATTCAAATATCACTTGTTTAATATCTTTTCGAACTTAAATTACGTGATTTTAAAAAACTATAAAAATTATAGGCGGAATTTACGCAAAAATTTTTTGATCTTTACTCAGTAAAATGGGAACTGCCTCCATTACTAGATTAGTCCAGGGTTTCGCGAAGAACTAAATGATGAATTTATGGAAAATTATTAATTACTTTAACCTTTCAGTCAAAATCAAGTTCCATAAGCTGGTGCATTACGGCTCAAACAAAAGATCGATCCTTTTAGCTAATGAGAACAAAATTATATTGCTTTACATGCATAAATTCCTAGCTTAGGGATTGGATATACTAGAGTGCACGACTCACGACAGCTATTTGTCTGGATATGTTTACTTCCCAATAATTATAATTCTTTATCGAAGTTGGTTTTGTATTCCTTCTCCATTATGATGCTTATTTTATTCTTACATTTAATCAGGTTTGGCTGTTGGCCACTTAATAATGGTCGGTACCTGCACGTTTCTCATAAGACTCATCTCACTGGCCAAGTTAGAAACTCAGCTAATTTATATTTGTAAGCATGTTGTTAAGTATATATACACGACCGACATAGATTCGATGAACATACATATAAAAACCCAGACCTCTAAATATATAAAAAAAATTATAATTTTTTTTAAACACATATTCGTATCCGACACCCATCCTTAGATCAGTAACATAACATAGCACCCATCAGCTACAGTGGGTAAGTGTTTCAAGTACTTATGCTTGTTATCTCTGTATGTTTTATGATTCAAGGCTCTAGAAGTGAAAGTGGGGAATGTTCAAAAAGTGTGAGAGAGAAGGATAGGGAGACAAAGATGCTGTTTTGCAGTGACATGAATTCCCTACTTTCTGTCATGTCATGGTAACTGTTTAACTCTTTTGTTTTGCAATGAAATCTATGCATGAGAAGGGTGAGAGAGAGAGGTGTTGTGGGATGGTGGATGGGGGTTAGCTTTTCGGCTTTCGAGTTTAACGATGATAGTGTCTTTCTTTATCATGGATCAATTATCAACTCCTTTCTTTCCATTTGGAAGGGCTATGGCCTGCTCTAGCTCTTGCCATACTCAACCTCTATATGCTTTGTATGTGTCACACTCCCAACTGTAGTTTTGACAGGAACAAGCCTCAAAGTAATAGATTATAGGTAAGAATGCATCTTACCTCCAATTAATACTCTTTTCTGCCAAATTTTAGCTGTCGGCGACTCAATTTATAACTTATTGGATAAAGTTCTTATATTAATATTTTATTTTTATCAATAAAAAAGCCTCGAAAGACAAACATTACATATCTCATTAAATTAATTTTTAAAATAAAAACAGTATTTCGTGATACATAGATTGAAGTTGTTAGTTTTACATCATAACTTTGTGAAGCTAACAGCAGAGTACTATTAGTTCTAGAGAGTACCTTGATTAATGGTGCATGCATCATGTCAAATATTTTATAAAAATAAATAAAATATTTTAATTTCACATCAAGTTAGTAAAGGAGTTTTGAAAGATTTATAAGTACGAACGTTATATATCTCATTAAATTAATCTTTTGAGAGAAAAATATCTCATGACACATACATGGAAATTGCAATAAAAGAGTGCCATTTGTTGCAGGATTGTCATGAACTAAATTGGCCTAGTTATACATCTGAACCTCACTCTAAATTTAATGTTTGAAGTTTCTTATTAATCTGTTATCAGGACATAGCAAAAGGGGAGGGTTCCACAAACTATGATGACTGATGGCTACAGTCTGTTTCTCAAGTGCTGCATGTTTGCTGCAATTGGGGAATAAGTGGACCAATGTGGGGGAAACTTGACTGTATAAGACTATGTCTTTGCCTACTTGCTGATAGGCTACTTGCAATTTTTTCAGTTTCAAAGACTTCCCAATTTCTGTTAAAAATGATTTGTTTAATCTGCTCTTTTCTCCAGGTATCACTATTAGCTGATCTAATTAGCTTAAATCCAAACTCTGTTAATCATCGACATCTCAAATCGATTAAGTAATTTGAAGATATCTTTGATGTATATACTTAATCTAATATCTCAATCGTAATATCAAGTAGAACTCGTTATGTGATGAATTTATAGTTTTACAATTAGTATCAGACTTTGACTCAAACCTACAAAGATAGGTGTAAAGCCATGGTGTTTTCCATCAATTTCTTTTTTTTTCCCTATTTTTTTCCTCCTCTCCATAACCCACTCCTCCATTGAAATGGCTTTTATTTGTGGCCCTGAATGAGGCCAAGTCATGCACTCTCAAATTATGGGCTCTACGGTTAAGCCCTGATTGCCACCAATTTTCCGCTTAACCTTTGCCTTCGCTTTCTCTGTCCTTTCCTTTTGGGGTCGTGCAAAAAATCTTGAGTCTTTCATATATGCATAAGGGTTTTAGCCTTTTAGCCTTAATACAAGGAGAAACTCATTCAACTTTTGAAACAAAATTCAAGCCAATCAATGTTTTGTCTCTTCTTTTTCCCCTCCTTGTTTACCCACATTTTTCTAAACCTTAAAAAATGTGCTAATTTCACACTATTTTAGTGTTCATATTTAATCATGGAAAAAAATATCAAAAGCCCAAAGCAATTGGAGAATGAAAATCAGAAAAATTAGAAAAAAAAAATTTGCCATTTCTTATTCTTTTGAATTCTATCCACTAGTTCTTTAGATATTTTTAGAAGTTCATATATAGCTTTCACAATCTGAAGCCCTTTCTACCCAATAGCCCATCCCAAGAAGCATACCAACCTCTAATTAATATTCCACCTAGTAACAACAAGAATTGACACAAACAATGGAATTAAATTGAAATCACAAACAGGTTCTTCACCACATCTCTCACCTTATCTCTTAGCCAAAGAAAAAAATGAAGAAAAAATAATAAAGGGAAAAAAAACCCAAGAACAAAAAAATCTTGTGTGGTAATAATAAGAGGAAGAGAAATTTTTAGTGGCAAAGAAACAAGCTTAAAGGGTAACCTCTAGGTTCCATGAAGAGGTCTGGAAATTGCAAGCAATCTACATCCGCCACGTGGCTGTATGCGCAATCTTGATTGTGTGGCTTCCAGCAAATGGAGAAAACATCCTTAATTTTTGTACACACAAAATTATCCTTATAAGTTTTGCCCCATGCTTACTTTCGATCGTCAAAGGCCACACTCCCTCCATTGAGCTATTCCCCAAACTGCTCTCCTCCTCCACTCCCTACTCTCGTTACAGTTCAATCCTCCATGGCTGCTACCGTCTCCACCATTGGTGCAGTCAACCGAGCACCGGTATACTCTTGTTTTTGCTTAGCTTACTATATTGTTTAAAGGGTCACTTTGATTTTCATTGATCATACTTATATTTCTTTTTATATTTAAATATATGTGTGTCTGCGCATGCGTGTAAATTAATATAATACAACGTGAGTAGGTTTTAAAGCATGCAAGAATTTGTCACTGTGTAAGTAAAAGCATGCAAGTTTTTGATTGTGTATAGTTTTAGAAAGTAAAACTGTATGAAGTTTCGTGGAACTTAAACTAAAGTAGATAAGTTTTTTCATCCAATGAATTGAGTCTAAATTTGGTCATTTAAGAATGAGATATGAATTGGCAAATTGGATTAGAGGATGTTCAGTCATGGTTTAAAGAGGAGTATGTTATGCTTTCGTGCAGTTGAGCTTGAATGGCTCCGGTGCTGGAGCTGCAGTTCCAAGCTCAGCTTTCTTGGGTAGCAGCTTGAAGAAAGTGAGCTCAAGATTCAGCAACAGCAAGCTTCCGTCAGTGAGCTTCAAGGTTGTTGCATCACAAGAAAGCACCGATGAACAACTTGAGAAGCAGACCGAAAAGGACAGATGGAGAGGCCTTGCTTATGATGTATCTGATGACCAACAAGACATTACTAGAGGGAAAGGTATGGTGGACACCCTGTTCCAGGCCCCCGTGAACGATGGAACTCACTATGCGGTCATGAGTTCCTATGAATACCTCAGCCAAGGGCTTCGCACGTAAGCATATTAATATATATATAAAAAGAAAGATTCAAAAAAATTATTTTTATGCTTGCTTGATTTTTGAATGAATTTTAGTTGTTTTATTCATGAGTTTGGGATTTTACATGATATAGATACAACTTGGACAACAACGTGGATGGTTTCTACATTGCCCCTGCCTTCATGGACAAGCTTGTTGTTCACATAACCAAGAACTTCATGACCCTGCCGAACATCAAGGTACTAAGTTAAAAATTTCACTTAAGAGCCTTCAATTTTTGGGTGCCAAGTTAAGTTCTTGTGTTGAACAATTTGTACAATTTCCTTTTACAGATTCCTCTCATCTTGGGTATCTGGGGAGGCAAAGGTCAAGGAAAATCTTTCCAATGTGAGCTCGTCTTTGCCAAGATGGGAATCAAGTGAGTTCATGATTTCCTAAAATAGATTGATATAAACAAACATGCCTAAATAGTTGAACATGTTAGAAAGAAGCTGATGATTTCTGATGACGAATTTCAGCCCAATTATGATGAGTGCTGGAGAATTGGAAAGTGGAAACGCAGGAGAGCCCGCCAAGTTGATCAGGCAAAGGTACCGTGAGGCAGCTGATATTATCAGGAAGGGGAAAATGTGCTGCCTCTTCATCAACGATCTTGATGCAGGAGCTGGTCGTCTTGGAGGAACCACCCAATACACCGTCAACAACCAAATGGTGAATGCTACCCTCATGAACATTGCTGATAACCCCACAAGTGTGCAGCTCCCTGGTATGTACAACAAGGAAGAGAACCCTCGTGTCCCCATCATTGTCACCGGTAACGATTTCTCAACATTGTATGCTCCCCTCATCCGTGATGGTCGTATGGAGAAGTTCTACTGGGCACCTAATAGGGAAGACAGAATTGGTGTCTGCAAAGGTATCTTCAGGAGTGACAACGTTCCAGATGATGACATTGTCAAGCTCGTTGACACCTTCCCTGGCCAATCCATTGGTAAAGTCTCATTTCCAACCAGTTTCCTATCAAATTTCCAAGCTGTTTCCTGCCAGGAATGATCATTAACAGCATGCTTTGCAATCTGCAGACTTCTTCGGTGCCCTGAGGGCCAGAGTTTACGATGACGAAGTGAGGAAGTGGGTCAGTGAGGTTGGAGTTAACAGCGTCGGCAAGAAACTGGTGAACTCAAGGGAAGGACCTCCAACTTTCGAGCAACCCCAGATGACCATCGAGAAGCTCCTGGAGTACGGAAACATGCTTGTTGCAGAGCAAGAGAATGTGAAGAGAGTCCAATTGGCTGACAAGTACTTGAACGAGGCTGCTCTTGGAGACGCCAATGAGGATTCTATGAAGAGTGGAACTTTCTACGGTTAGATCCCTTGATCCCTGAGGCCTTGATGGGAGGTTTGCATCTAAATTTGCATGCAGAACAACGTTATCTTGGATTCAAAAAAGAAGTATTCACCAGCTCTTTGCTCTTTTCTCTGTTGTTGGTGGTGTTGCAGGCAAAGCAGCCCAGCAAGTTGGTGTTCCAGTTCCTGAAGGTTGTACTGATCCAGGTGCGGATAACTTTGACCCCACTGCTAGAAGTGATGATGGAAGCTGTACTTACAAACTCTAGGCCTTTTCTATATATTGGGTAGAAAGATGGAAAAACCCTTTCCTTTAAGTGATGATGTGAGATATTCCATAGTATTGTTTCCTTTTGTTTTAAGTGGATTTGTATCCTCTATTTTTGTGCTGTGAATCTACACTTTGTTAAATCTTTAGATGTTTGCTTTTGCTTTGTTTCCAATCATTTTTATATTATTCTCCTGCATCTTTGGAGTATTCATACAAAAAGGGTATCTTTGATTTCGAGTAATGGAATAGTCATTTCCTCACTGTTTCTAAGCTTCCTCTAAGAAGTTGTTTGATTCATAGACTGATAATTTTTCCTCTAAATTTCTTCCATCGTCGGAGGTGGTGGAAGGCAACATCAGCAATGGCAAAAGGTTATATATATGTAATATTTTTTTATCTATGTCTTCACATATATAGATTTACAAATACAACAAGAATGTTGATATAAATGAAAATTATATCAGTTCCTCACATCTTTCTACAAATATTTCTACCCTTTTTTTTCTATTGATTTTGGTTTTAAAATTTTCTATTGTTTCCTTTGTTTAGAAAAACAAAAAGTCATATGGTCTGTGGCTGGCCCATTTAGAAATCAAAGAAATTAAAACTTCCATTCATCATTAAAGCCCACTTGAGTTGAACAAATTAGCTGGGCTGAAACCCAAAACACGATTTGTCCTTAATTGCAACAAAAGCTAATAGAATTACAAATTAGAAACTCATTAAAACTGCCAAATTGAATTTTAAGGACAAAATTGAACATTTCTTAAAGTTATAAGTTTATTTGAATTTGTAAATGCAATAATATTTTTATGAGATAACTGTATTTGAAGGCTGGGGAGTAGTTGTTGACTTCCACATGTAGATAACAATTTGCCCATAAAGAGTCATAACCATTATAATTAGGAGAGAAAATTACTATATGAATTAATTAACAATCCCAAATTTGATTAAAAAAATAATTATGCATTTATAATCAATAATTTCTATCTTGTTTCTTTATAAGAGAAAAGACAATCCATTTATATCTCTTAATAATGTTTTGACGACTAATTTTAAAATATAATTGGCCATAAAATCAAAGCCTTGACAAAAAGTTTTCAACTTGGAAATCCATTACCATAAAGGGGATCAACAGCCCACACCTTTGAAATTAAAAAGAAATTGCAATCTCAATTTAATTAATTAATTGAAAACAAGATTAATTAGCTTAATTTGTCCTTTGTTTAATTACATCAAAAAGAGAAAAGGTATAATACCTAAAAAAGTTTCTGAATTATTTAAGGAAATTCAAATAAACCTTATTTTTTCATTGTGTCCAGTTAAGTCAATATCTTATACTTTTATTTTGAGTTCAATAAATGCTTATAACTAACAATTGATTAATTATTTTTAATCACACTATCATTTATTATTTTATGTCATATGATACTAGTATGACATATTAACATGTCATAGTGGATAGTGATATAGCATATTGATGTGACATGACATAACGACATAATATTTTTTAATTTTTAAATCAAAGTCATGTCAATGCCATCAAAATATAAAAATAACATGTGATGTTTTCATTAATAATAGTTAGTTAATCATTAGTCATAATAGTTTATTCGACTTGAAAATAAAAATATAAAATTTTGATAGAATACAACCAAAGAATAAAGACTTATTTATATTTGTTTGAATCATTTAATTTTTTTTAAAATATTATATAAAAATTACATAAAATATGTGAAAAAAAATTAACAATGGCCAAACTATTAGAAATATTTGGGTAGCTAGAAAACCATTTGGTACCCATTTTAGATCATTAATTATTTTTTAAAAATGCCTTTTTTAAAGAAACAAAAAAACCATTTAGATTGGGTAAAGTATTAGTATTTGGATTTCAAACAAGGCGAAGATTGGAGAAGCCGAAAGAGAAATAGAATTCAAACAAGGAATCCATGGAATTAAATATATATAAACATTTCTTTTTCTTTTCTTCTTTGTAGTGTAGTTTGTCAATGAACATAACCTTTATATATTAAAAAAATAAAAAAAAATAAAGGAGAAAAGATTCCATTGTTATAGGTTATCTAAGTCAAATCCTACTCAAAAAGAACTTTTATAAATTTCTTCTTTCTTTTCAGCAACTTCATTTGGCACGCTTGGAGGTTACGATTAATTAATTAATTAAAGGAAAATGTCGACTCATCCGTTGACTTTATATGGTTGAGAGTCAAAGGTCAAAACACAAGAGTTTGATTTTCCAATTATCAACATGCATAGAAAAAAAAATGCTAAATTCACTATCAAAATTTCAAATTGAAATCCATCGAAAGTATTTTATCGGAAAATTTAGAGAGAATACTATTGAAATTTCCACTGAATATCATAATTAACAATTTTAGAAAAAAGAATCCACTCGAAAATTTAATGATAAAAACATGATGGGTAAATAATGTCCACTTAAAAAAAAAGGTGTTTTTTCTTTTTAATATCTTTTGAATTCAATTCCTATATTTTATGATATTCAAATATCAAAAGAATTCGATTTCATCGTGAAACAGTTCACATGCGTAATAATTTTGTTATGGTAAAAAATTAATATATAAAAAAAAGAAGGATTGAGAATTCCAAATAATATAATTAATAAATAACATAGGATGAAAATTTCAATTTTTTATGTATATTTGAATCCTAAAATACTAAAAGAAAAACCCAAAAAGTAAATATTTAAGTGATACATGTATTATATATTTGTTGGTTATATGTGCTTTTCATGTAATTATTTTCTGGTATTGGTTGGTGATCATATCTTATGCCATATTAATATCTCTAACATTAAAAGAATTAAAATAAAAAAAAGGGCAAAGTGCTGGTTTACCAAACTCAATGAGCAATTTGTTGTTGAGTTTTCTTTTGACTTTCTTTACGTGCCAAGCCATTGCATTGTGAGCAAGTCAATGGCTAACGTTTGAAGAACTAATTTAGGATTGGCAATCATATATTAATTGAATTTTTGTAATATTAATGTATAAATTATGCAATATTATTAAAATTAAGAAAAAATGTTCTTTAATGAAAATAAAATTTTTATTTAAAAGCTGGATAAATATTATTAGTATTTATAACAAAAAATTTAATGAAAATCATCCGATGGGATTACGATTTTTATATATATATATTAATTAAATAAAATTTATTAATATTAATAATAAAAAATTTAAAAATATAATAAATAAATCAAAATATTTATGCCGACCTATTAATAGATGGACGGCTGCAAGAATTACATTGGCTGCTTAGCAAAGAGTCAACCCAAGAGTTTCTCAGAGTCAACAACAATCAGCACTACGATCACTAGATCACGTGGCTCACAGTTAACAGTATTTATGATAAAACGTCACAGCTAATCAGCACATTTTGACCCCACCAAGCAGGCCCGTACCATAAATCTCTCCCTCTCTCTCCCTCTCCCGGGCGATGATTTTGTACCCCACAGAATCTTGCAGCTTCCTTAATTTGATCCACATGTCACATGCGTGGTTAATCTGTGGTGGGTAGTTGTTCACTTTCGTCGCTCCACCTGATTCAGCAAAGACACGTTTACCACACAAAAAAAGAGAAAGAATACATTTAATTTTTTTAAAGTGTTTTTCCTTTTTTTATTAAAAACTACAAATTTGGTTATAATTATATGTGAGAGATGGATTAGACTAAATTATTTGTTCAAATTTACAAGGAAAATTAAAAAAAATAAAAAAGAGAATTCATAAGTTCAGCAACAACATTCTTTAATTGCTTTTTATTTATAATAAATTTTTTAAAAAAATTATGAAAATTAAATTTTAAATCATAAAAAAATTTATAAACAATTACAATAAATAAATTAAAATATCACTTATCATTCTTCTGTTTACACAGTGTTAATGTGACATTAAGGTGGATGGTGAAAAACATCAAGTTACTAATATAATATATCAATATGTCATTTTAACATTATATAACATTAAATGACATGTGATAAATGATTAATAACATATTTAATTTTTTAAAAAATAAAAACTTGATTAAATATAATAAAATAATAAATTTTTTTTCAAATTTTGTTAAATAATTTCAAGAATTTTTTAAACATTACGCTGTTATTATATTAAGTAATAAATTACTTTCTAGTTAATTATTGTATATAATGTAAGAGCAATAGTGCTTACCCATCATCACAAAAACTAAATTATGAGATTTTTTGTAATTGAAAGAAGGAAGATTTGAACTGTATTTTTAGGCAATAAATTATTTACTAGTCAATGAGTTAAATTTTCGAGTATAATTATAAGATACTTTGGTGGTTAACAAAATATTTTTAAATATAAACTAAAACAAGTTTGGACAAAATTTTATTTTTCCTAAGAAAAGTCAGATTATGTGGATATAGTTGAAAAATAATAATGGGTTTATGTCATTTTCAATCAAGAATGTGGGGCATTTTGTAAAATTATTGCAATGTTTTGTTTTTAAATAATTATTTGTATTCACGCCGACGGTCCAACTGTTGAAAATATAATTATTCAAATATTTTGAAATTACATATGTAATATTTTATAATAAAAGATATTTTTTACTTTTTATTATTTTTAAATCAAAAATGGAAAAAATCATTAAATGATCTAAACTTCCTTTGAATTTAATACAGGTGGTTAGTAAAATTAATATAAAACAATCAAAATTTTGGTATTTGGAAAAAACATGTAAAGCAAAATATTATAAAGTTATTAAATTCAACTCAATCCAAATGAATTTTATATAAGGAAAATAAAATTTAAGTATAATTTAATAAAAAAAAGGGAAAAATAGGGGGAAAGAATTATGGAAGTAAACAGTAGAGATTACTTGGCTTTCCACCAGGTTGAAACTGGTGGCTGTATCAACTGTCTTCTTGGTACAAAAGAAGTTGTCTTCAATCATTTCTGTAAGTCCCATGTGGGATTAAAACACCATGAATGCTCTTTAAAGTTCTCCTATGCTCTAAATCTCCCTTTTCCTCTTGCTTCTGTTTCAATCTTCTTCAACAAATCAAATCACAACACATACCAAATACAAAATATGCATAGCCAGAACTACAGTCTAAAAAGTTTACCAGCACGTTTCTACATATAACAGTTCACCTTTTTATTTCTTTCAAGTTCTTTTTCTGATTCACAGGCCTCC